TCTGACTTTTTTTTCAGCAACGGAAAGGAATTTCAAAAAGAGCTCTACGTGTTATTGTTGCTCGCCTAAAAGTGAATCAAAACAAAATAGACAGATTTACAAAATAAGTTGGCCCTTTAAGCTATGTCAGTGAATGGACTTTTTATTGGCCATGCTATATGTTATCAAGTTCCAAATAAGGCATCTAGACTCAGTTCCATGTGCTGAATCAGGAAAAAGAAATTGTGGGGCTCCGAAATGAAATTGGACAAAAATACTGGAAATTTTCGTGGCGAAGCGGTTTTTCGAAATTTTAGGCTCTTTCAGTATTTTAGACCTTTTCACGTAAACGTTGCACTAAAAAGTTAAAACTTACATATTAGATTAGCTCGGCTTGCTCTGTCCAACCATGTATAAAGAAGTCAGAAATAAAATAGTGCTTAAACTTTGAATTAGTGGCGCCTTAAAACCAACGTACAACTCATCAGATTTCCTTTTAGATAGCTGACAGATTCACATATACTTTCTTTAAACAGTATTTTGAATATAGCATAATTAGAAGAATATTGACAATTACGATGACAATAACTAATAATAGTAACGATGGCGAAAGCCCAAATTGTTTGCTAATAGATGGTAGCCTGAGTATATTTTGTTCGATTTCTTGCTGTATGCTCTTTTGATCACGTTGTATATGAGTAAGATTTTTAGCTATTGCATTTATATGATTGGCATCATTCACAAAGCCTAACAACATCGCATCATCGAACGTGTTCGTATTCAATAGTTCTAATAATTTATCATTTCTTGAATAATGTCCGTCGCTTGTGATATAGTACTCAATGGATGACTGACAGTTTGTATTTCTTAACGATATTTGAAATTTACAATTTAATGTAGATTTACAGGGTAGTCTGATAACTGCAAATCGTTCAATAATTATATCATCCATTTGAGTAGATCCATCATTTTGTTCTTGTGCTATCAAGCAATACGTATAATTAGAAACTGAAATTATCCAGATGTTATCGTGTATGTTTCGAAGATATGGAGATCCAAACGGCGATTCAATGTATGAGCATGTATGCTCTTGACTATCGTTTAAACAAGCGTGCTCAATTCTTTGATGAATATTTGATGGTAGAACATGGCAGAATGTTATTTTACCGAAATTACACGTATTAATATTATTATCTCCTATACACCATGATAACGATTGATTATTTTCATAATCGATACCTGTATAACGTGGTAAGTTGTGAATCTGATATGATATATTGAATGAAAAAAATGGTGTACTAAAGACTTCATATACTGGTATGGATGGCACAATAGAGTGGCACATAGAGCGTATACTCCACTTAATGCCAAAGAAAGGCATTTAATACAAATAGACTGTTTCATGTATACATACTTTTTAATTTTTTTTTCTATTATACACCGTTCGCTAGAAAATTTCACAAGAACTTCTTTGTTTCAGATCTTTTAGTAAAAGCTAGAGCCAATCTGAATACTGTTTTGAATATGCCAAAGATTAAATCTACAATTCCGGCATTTAACATATTCGATGAGCCGCACACGAGCGAAAATATTGCATGAGCCATTGAATTCGAACTCAGAAGGCTGAAAATCTACGACAAAATAAGCAGTTACTTGTGATGGTGCTAGTAACACGGGGAAAGCTCGTAGTTATCTTCAAGCACATCGAATACAATGCGTAGCACACAAATTACACTTGATAATTTGTCATGGTCTTTGCTTGTGGGCGAAAACACCCATACAGCAGTAACCAGCGACAACAACGATTGCCACGCCCAAGGTTTCAACAAATGAAGGTGAACTGTACGAAGAACGAAGCTCTTTACCGAACAGTGTTCTACGTAAGTAAAATAGAGATTGATAGGTGTCATTAGAAAAGGACTGGGATTCATCTCAAACAGAGAAGAGCGCTACCAAACGTCTACCAAAGATCCAGTCGATGTTGATCAATAAATCTCTGCTTCTCCGTCTCTTTGCATTCGGCATTCGAGATTTTTTGGTCGATCCCGAAACGGATCAATACCCCCAAAGTGTTAAAGAAAGTTATAATGGCGACAATCATTGTTGGAAGGATCCAATGCATTGTTGACTTTGTACCTACGATTCAGGATAATAAATCATACGAGAAAAGTAAACTGACATCTTCCTTACCTGTGGA